TAAACATTATGTATATAAATAATATGTTAATAATAGTTATATGATATAATTGTAAAATCACAAACAGTTTTGTTGCATGATGTCCTGTATCAACATGAAATTCACCTTATGGATCCACTCACCCTAACATCTGCCAGCTGAGGCCCATGGCAAGCTGGCCTCCAAACAGTGCGCACAAACACTCAATGGATCTTGAGACAAAACATGACAAAACAATGGGAGCCACTTAGTCGAATGCAACGATACATGTAAAAGTCAAGCGGCTTCTAGTGCAGCCCATGTGCTGCCCGCCTGCTGAGATGTGTTTTCTTGTTTTCAGCAAATTCCCTCAGTCAGAGTCTTGATGAGCACACCAAATGATTCCAGGTGCTTGAGAAAAACAAATTGATGAAGTGGAAGTGACCAACAAGGAAAAACTCTAGGCACTAAAATGGGGGCAATAATGGGCAATATATGGGTCCATACTTAGCTGCACCCACCTTCTGCTGCGCGTCCTTTTGGGTCATTGCTCCCACCACTGCCTCGTGACCGAACCCCCCAGCACCTGGAAATCCAACAAGAAGCCTTGCCCATCTCTCCTCTGCACAGGAGCGGTAGCCGAGGCAAGTAATTAACAAAATGCATTAAGAACCCTACAGACTGGCCCATGATCCACAAGCTTTGAATCGATTCAGATGTTGCATTTGCACTGTATGATATATTGTACTATCATAGAATACTAGCATATACTATCACAGTCCAATTCATCCGAAGAATCCTCTCACCCATGCTTAATTTTGAGGCAATTGTGGGAGTACTAGTGGGTGTCTCCAGTTCAAGCAGGGATGCATTTCAAATTTCAAATACAAGTGACTTAGATTCAAATATTAATTGTGCGGCCCTTGTACTTCAGTCAGGTAAAAGCCAGCTATTGTATAAACATGTGTTCCTCAGAGTCCAGAGCTCCGAGCAAGCTGTCAAGAGATCATGGGTTGAAGATGGTTGAAGGCTTGAAGATTCGGTTATGCCCATGCCTGTCACAAAATAGCAACTCAAAATCTGACGTTGAAAAAAGAATTCCAAACAAGCTTTTCTTCCGGACATCCATCTGGGCAAAGCACTCTTGCATAGCACTCTCGCCGAACCAGGCCTCGTACTCCAGGCCGCTTACTTTGAACTTCTTAGTTCGGGCACCTGGAGCCTGGCGTATTCGGCTATGGCAAGTTGGCTCAAGTGTTCGGCTGCACTGACAGGCATGACTCGGCTGCCAATCTGACCGTCGACTGCAACAACTGTTCAACTGACTCGGACAGGTGGCTGGCGCTTGGTACCCCGTCTTGTGCGAGATGCTGTCAGGCCGGATTCAGCCGCTGACCTCTTTTAGCAAAGTATGGCCGGATGTGAACTGTTGCAAAAAACACATACAATCAACACAATGCATCATACTGCATACTCTTGCTGTTTGAAATGATGGTTGCGGTTGCATTCGCCGCAAGATCAAGATCAAACCGGGAGATACTGACTCAGTATCACGAATTGTGGAGCTTCCAGGAAACGTGCCACATCTGAAGAATGCGAAAGTTTACATGACAAGAAAAAGGCTTGAAAGCTCCAGAAAGATTGGCACCCTGGCCTGTGCAGAGTGCATGCAGCATGCATTCATGTCAATTATCAAATGCAGGACGATGAGCTGCACCACAAGCTGTGACAAGAACCAGCTGGCGCAAAAGCTTGGAGCAAGAGGCTCGATCCATTGTCCCCGCGAAGTATCATGAGGTCAAATGGACTAATTATTGGTATTGGAACCTCGGCTTGAGGCAATCCAACTGCACAGCTGAGTCAGCTGAGCAGCTAGTTGAAGCATCATACGGCTTCTCTAGATCACTGCCGCCGACCCCCATGATGCCACTCCTCACCAGTGCAGTCGTTCGAGTTCCCCACTGTGGCGATATTGCCAAACGGAGCACAACTCCCGGCCAAGTTTGCAGCAAGCCTGTTGGCACTTATCTGCACTCTTGACAGCAGCAAGTGGGTTCAAACCAAGACACTGTTTAGATTGGACATCCCACTTGCACATGGTACCAGCAAGCGTTTGGTCCACAGCTTCCTCATGTTTAAGAGTTCCTTTGGTCTGGTCCAACTGCTCTTGAAGGGCTGTTTCTTTTTGACTCATCTCGTCTGCCTTCTTTTGGGCCAGCTTCGAGGCCGTCTCTGCATGTTCAAATCGTCTTGTCATTTGGGTCCACTGCCACTCTGAGTTGCAGTGCATCACGATCACAGTCAGGACCACCATGATAGCCACAGCAATAGTCATAGCAAAACCAGGCCGAGATCTTATACCCATCCGGATGCGGGAGCAATTTGACAGTTCAGGAGGCTTCCAAGTCTCCACTTCGGTGGTTGGAATGAGTTCAATGTCTGACCAGGGCAACTCCTCCACCGTGGCTCTCCTCCAGTCGAAGTCCAACCGCTCAACATGCTTCCCACAAGCAGCTGCCACCGTGCAACAGCCGCTCTTGAACACACGCAAAGCAGAGTCATTCTGTGGAAACGTCTCACAATGCATCCTGGCATCTGCCGCCACACGCTGGGCCAAGGCCTTTTGCCAAAGGCATCGAAATTCGGCTGAGCACAGCTGGCTATGCAACACACGTTCCAGCAATGCCTTCAACTCCTGCACTCCCTGCGGTTGGCCCCCTGGTGGGAAACTTGTGGAAAGTGGTTCTTCCACTTCTGCCCCAGTGTTTTGAAAGGCTTCCTCTGCAAGGCTCTTGATTGCGGACAAAAGCTCAGGCAATTCCTTTCGATGCTCCGTGTCTGCCTTGGTGGCCACAGGAAGGACCTTGATGGGAAAGCGCCTGTCAAACTTCAGCTCTTGCAATTGATTGCTCATTTTCTTTGCTTCATCTCTCTGGAACTGACGGATGGAGGACACCGGAACGCAAAGCATGATGATATGAGGAGTGTGTTCTGAGACCAAATGCTTGTCTTTCAAGATCTGTTTGTATTGCGACTTGATGTCCGTGCTGGTTTCGTGGCTCCATCCTGGAGTGTCAATTAGCACCAGCCGGAGATCCTTCGTAAGACCTTCGAGCTCGAGATCGAAAGCTTGTGCATTGAGCGTTCGATTCCTCAAATGAGGCCCGGCTTCAACATTGGGATTGAACTTGTCACCGCCCAAGGCTTTACAAATGGTGGTTTTGCCAGCGCCTGCAGCACCCAACACCACACAGCTGTGGTTGAGGATGAGCTGAAATGGCACCTTCACCACTTTCTCGATGAAGCCAGGCTGTGCTTCCAAGACTCGTGTATCCTGAAAGCCTGTCTTCACATGCTCTTCGATCTTTCCAAGTAGCCTTGGGATCTGCGGGTCGTTCACCAATGTATATGATGAACCGGGCGAAGCAGCTTCGGGGCATGCGTCGGGCACTTGGCCCCCGGAAGCCACACTCTCCGAAGCCGTGCCATCGGAGAAGGTGCTCGCCGCGGAATCCGCAGCCTGAGGCTGGTCGGGTTCGCAGTCCGACAGCAAAGGGCGAGGATCCATCGCACGATACCGGCAGAACTAGACTTGTCAGCTGGCAACCAAAACTGAGCGCCAAAGCAATGCTGAGACCGTGATCGAGTATACATGGAATTACATGGAGACGGTACACAAACCTTGCACGATCTTGCAAGGCATGCTTCAATCAGGCTCATCCAAGGACAGACCCGGCTTGTAAGTGTAATAGAATGTCCAGAAAATAGAATGACCTTGTCTGCAAACTCTTAAGGCTCCTTGTTCCGAGCTTGAAGGACCTGAACTAGACTATCCCAGTTCGGTACCCCAGTAAGGAAGGTTCCTATTTACCGTAAATAGGACGATACGTATACCCCTTACTCGTCCTTAAGGCCCTCTCGTCCTGCCTTACTCGTCCTGCCTTATCCGCTGTCTCCACGAGACGGCCGGGCTCGCCGCCTCGGGGAGCGGAGTGGACGGCCGAGAACGGCCCGAGAACGGCCGAGTGGTGCCGGGTCGGCCGGTTGTGGGGCGGCAGTCCGGCAGTCCCAGGTCCAAGTCGTGTCTGGGAAAGTACACCTCAGTTTTGGGGGCTTGCTTCAACCACAGTTACGTGTTGAGTGTCACCCTAACTATAAATATGATATAGACATCCAGTGTGTTTGGAATGGCCACGATGTCAAACAGCATCTCAAACAAATCTATCACATTGTAAAAATCGATACGTCGCCACGATCGATGGCAACATGAGCCCACCTGGGATTTCGAGCTACAGGACGAAAGCTAGCAGGGGTGCATCCGGACTGGTGGGACATCAAGCGGAGTGAGGCAAATGCTCATGAGGTTAAACGTTGTGAACATGTAAGACACACAAACAGCAATGACACAGCCAACCTTAGAATTGAAGTCCCCGATAATTAAGGAAGCGTGGCTGGACTTTGCCACACTGTTCGATGCATCCGATGTGTTCACAAACCTAGCTGGTGCTAGCTTTCGTGACTTGGTCAACTGGATTTAGACTCTTAGAGTCCAGGGGGTATACTCCAAATGGTCACCCTTCCTAACAGTACCCTTAGCCTCAGAGAAGACTCTAGACCTCAACTTCCGCAGCCTGGCCGCCTCCCGGCCCAGTCGTACACATGGCCCCTCCTCCGGTCTCGTGGGTCAATGGTGCGACAGGTCCGGCGGATCGGAAAAGGGTCAGAGAGAGTGTCCACCTGCAGAAGCACTGACCACGCCTGCCCTGGTTTGACAGGCGTACAAAACACAAACAAACACATACACTCCCTGATACACACATGAAAGTGGACAATTCACATCAATTAACAGGTGTTCCAGGAGCCGATGGTCCACTTCCATGATTGTTGGGACGGTCAATCACGGGACCCTTCTCCCCATCCTCCTCATGCTTGTCATTTTGGGGTGCCAGTGGCACGTGGTGTGCGTCTCTTGATCCAGGGCGCTTGTGTATCTACAGCGCGGCGAAACACACATTCTTGGGCTGTTCCCACACTTACCTGGCTTAGCCAGCAGCAAGTGAGCGCAAACTGGTTGGCCGCAAGGGGTTCCGAAAGAATAAAAGCCACAGCAAGCCAACATCCAGAATTAGACATGCAAGGAGGCCTGCGAGCCATAGAAGTGAAAATTGGGTGACCACCACGGCCAGTATGCCATGTTGAGCAAAGACCAAAAGATCTCCAGCCTTTAGCACTGAGCCGCTTAAAATCGATCCCACGAGCATCTGGAAGCCCGTGGAGCCCTTGAGGGTGCTGCCGAGGTGGTTCATCTTGAGCATCGCCGCCAAGCCCAGCGTGCTGATGAACGGCTGAAGGAACAGGTTCACGGCTGCATTCGTCAGCATGTACTGCTCTACCGAGGTGAAGCCCGCGTATTGGGCGGATGTTTCGCAATCGGAGCGTCCATCACAACCAAGGACGAATGCAAGGCCCATGAGCCAAACAGGAAAGACGACCACCAAGCACAACTTGAGAGAAATGAAGTCCTCTTGACCCATGACTTTCATCACGCTGTCACATAGTGGGCCTCTGACATAGTCATTGAACTGATCGATGATTTCCTCTTGCGAAGGGTAGCTCGTCACATGCCGAATGGCTTGGATTGCCTTCGAAGCAGTTTCATCAGGATCATCGTCCGAATCCTCCAGCAACAGCGTAGTGGGAGATGACTCGAGAGTGGTGCAGCAGAAAGACCGGGGCTGCTGCAACGCCTCGTCAAAGAGCTGTAACACCTGTACTGCTGTCCATACTGCGGATACTCGCGTGTGTTTGGTTTCAACCTCCTGAAATGACATGGACAATTGTAAGTACAAACAAACATCAACACAACACTTGCGCGAAAACCTGGTCTTGAACGGTTTTGGAACATGTCAATTATGAATGTTCTTCCGGTTTTGAACGCGGCTGTACCTGTTCTTCGATGACTTGTCGGTCACTCTCCACGGCACATTTGGCATCTCTCAGGTCAAAGTTCCGCATCTGATCCAGCATCTTCTTGTGGCTTCCAATCTTCTGGATGCAAAAGTAGCCGAAAGGCAGTGCCGTGACAAAGTAGACATATAGAGGTACCGGGCAGGAATTGAAAATTGATAAAAAAAGGGAAAACCGCGACTCCCTATCAAATTTGGGAGACTGAACTCCAGTCTCAAATAAGCTTGCTATAGAAGACGTAATAAACCAAACTAATGTCCACAAAGGCATCCACATGGGCACAATTTGGATCGCTGACGTTGAAGCCGAGGTTCGAGCTCGCACAGCTATCTCATAGTTGCACCAAAGTCGCTCAAAGTATGTCTTGTCCCACCTGAGCGGGTGAGACAGTTTCCCCATGCGTTTCTCTCAAAGCCGGTGGAATTTCCACCAGAACGATTGGATGTTAATGTGATCTCGACGAATCAACAACAAATTACACCAGCATAGATCCAGATAGCTAGGCAGAATCCCACGACCTGGTGACATGCGACTGGCTGGAACAAGATATACGCTGCACAGCCAGCTTACGGCACCTCCACAGCGGCACCCAGCACCAGCACCGGCACCAGCAACCTGTCTCCACCACGTGCAGCACCGGCACCGCCACCCGGCACAACCAGCTCACAGCACCAGGACCAGCAACCTGTCTCCACCACGTGCACAGCCAGCTCCAGCACCGGCACCCGGCACCAGCAACCTGTCTCCACCACGTGCACAGCCAGCCCACAGCCCCCCACGCGCACAGCCAGCTCACAGCACCAGCACCGGCACCCGGCACCAGCAACCTGTCCCCACCACGCGCACAGCCAGCTCACAGCACCAGCACCAGCATCGGCACCGGCACCAGCAACCTGTCTCCACCACGTGCACAGCCAGCTCACAGCACCAGCACCGGCTCACAGCACCCGCACCAGCACCGGCACCGGCACCCAGCACCAGCACCGGCACCCGGCACGAGCAACCTGTCTCCATCACGTGCACAGCCAGCTCACAGCACCAGCACCGGAACGCGGCACCCAGCACCAGCACCAGCAACCTGTCTCCACACGTGCAAGCTCACAGCACCAGCACCAGCAACCTGTCTCGAAAGCGCGCACGGGCAACTCATTGTTATTTGAAGTAAGAACCCCATAGCTTCGCTATCTGGGGAAAAATCAAAAACAACACGTCTCTATTCCCCCCGAACCATCCTTCACCACAGCACAACAAACCTTCCAAACCACCACCCAGTTGCAAAACGAGCATTTCGTTGGACTTGGCGATGAAGGCTGGAATGGTTTGAAGAATTTGAGCTTTCACCTCCTTTTGTGCTTGATCCACGCAGACTTGATCAAACCAGAAGGATTTCATCACCGTGAGGTGTCCGAAGAGATAGGGCACTATGAAGGCGATGGTGGGCCAGCCGATGAGGCAGCCGAACAAGACCTGTTGGGACTGCTGGGCAATACCACTGAAGCTGCCAGCGTGCAGAAGCAAGAGAAGCACTGCTAGAAGGCAAGCAAGGAAGGATGACAGTATGGCCAAATCCAAGTTAAAATAGTGGCAAAAGGCCAGGACTTTCATCCAAGAAGGGCATGACCACGAATGGCTCACAAAGAAATCCGCTTTAGCCACTGGTTCCAGCAAGTCGTACGAACTTTCATCACCGCCATTGACCATCGCGGATTCATCCACGAAGATGCCTAGCAGCAGAGTGGTGGTCACATTCCAAGCAGAGGCTGCTCGGAAGAGACCATACTGCCTGGCAAGGGCAGCTTTCTGCCGGAGCGCACGCATCCTGGCTTTGAAGATGTTTGAGAAAAAAGGACTACTAGGACCCACGGTCGGGTGGTTAATGGACACCCCGAATCACCTCTAAGGGCCTATCAATAGACACCCCTGGCCCGGGTGTCCTGGTAGTTAATGGAATTGAACAAAAAGGGGTCTACGGCACCAACAGGTCATCCAACTTTGGGCGCGGCCCAAATACATCCAAGTGGCCCTCTCACTTAATACATCCCCAAACACTCCATGGGACTGCCATATATGCCGATCAGGTGAGGTGGTGCCAGGGGGGTCAATGGGGCGGCAGTCCTATGGCAGTCCCATTAGTCGTGTCTGGGATCTACATCTGTCGGAATTCCGATGCCATGTTCACTCGGAGTTGCACGAACACAGGTTCAGTGTATGAATCGAATCGTCGGTGCACCTGTTTTCGTCGAATGGGCAACAGCTTCGTGGTCCTTCGCAAAGCTTCATGGACTCTGCTCTGTGAAAGAAGTGCAAGCATCCACCCAGCCCAAGACAAAAAGGGACCAAAACACCACCACTCTAGATGAAGCAGAGTTGACAACACGCAATACTAAAGACATGATGAACAAACAATTAGCCGCATATACGCTAAAAAAATCTAAAAATAAGAAGACGGGAGAAACCACGTGTCTCGTCCTTTTCTTCCTTTTCTCAAGACCTTCCCCCCCTCCCCCACCGCAGCCTCACCGGTCGGCTCCGCACCAAAAACGCCCAACCTTCGACGTGTGAGGAAGCTGACGGGGGTGGTGACCGTGGGGGTGGTGACCGTTTTTCAACTCACCAAAAAGTATATGAATCAGTGACATTAGTCATCATCGCCCAAGTAAAGATTGAACATCAAACATCATGTGCGACACCACCGCCCAGAATGTCCTTTCATGTCACCCTCTTTCCCTCAATGCTCCAAGGGGAATATGTCATGTCAATATCAATGATATGCCTGAAGGTTTGAGAATCTTTGTGTGGTTTAGGCCTTCCTTCCTGTTGTCTCTGATGTGTTTTGCGTCCATTGTATGGCTGTCAAGTAGTTATTTATATAATAAATAGAGCTGTGAGATGCTTTAAGTGGTCGTAAGTGGAGTGTTGTGGCTTCAGGTTGCCTTTGTATCGCTGTTTAACAGTTTCTTGTGGGAAACTCCGAGCCCCACAGTGACATTTGAGAAACCTACGGACAAAACAACAATTAACACTACAAATCTCAACCTCATGTCAGAAAATAAACTAAATGTAATGAAGAAAAATCAACCAGCTTCGTCTCCAAATCTAAAGCCCTTGGAAGGGAGGTTATATAGTTAGTTCTTCTACGAACTGGGGGGTGAACTCCACATTCCAGGCTTGTGAACAAGCCAGCAGGTAAGTACATGAGTCCCGGACAAGTGCAGCGCGTTCATTGAGAGCCTGCAACGCGGCGGCGTTTTTTCGGCTGAGGGCTTTCGATAGCCTCCAAAAATGGACCCTAAGTGGGTACTCTGAGCCGAGCAACAACCTACCCAAAGAGCTGGGAAAAAAAAGCCAAAAGTTCCACGACTGGCAGGTGGTTTGTAATTGAAACTTTGGAACAAGTTGATCTCTTGCACCGGACCACTTCACCACCCCCAATACATTATTGCTAAAGCAAAGGCAACTCAGGTAGCGTAACCGCTACCTTTCGTGACAAGTTGATCTCTTGCACACCAACCAACTGATGTCACTGTAGTCCTGAGAAGCAAACGGAGTGACGAGTGAGGGGGGCCGAGGGGGCGACCCTGTCTCGAAGGCAAGGCTGCTGTTCTCAGCTGGTGAGAACGAAGAGACCCAACCCGGAAGAGATCCACCTGGAACCTCACGGCGTAAGGCCCAACTGGAAGACGATCTTCCAAGCTCCCAGCAAAGGTTGAAGAACCACTATAGACTCTAGTTCGACTATCCTAGTTCGGTATCCCTGGTTTTCCGGGTCCGGTCCCGGTCACTGGCTACCTCTGTAGGATACCAACCTGAGGTGGAACTCTTGGGTTTCATACAGACCGCGAAAACCAAGGGCGTTCATTCGACCCGGGGTTCGCCGACCCGGACTCTCGGATGGTCATCGTTTTGCTTCATTCCACTCCTCAGGTCCCGGATGCCTCTCTGTTTGTTCTCTCGCCCTATCTATCTCTCTCTCTCTCTCTGCCAGTGCACGGGCCTGTAAACATCCACAACCAAGTCCACTTAAAAGCAATGCTTTCCGATTGAATACTGTCAAAACTGGATATCCCGGTATCGGGATCCACAAACTATTCCATTCGTTAAAAATACTAGCAGGCTATCTGAGCAAAAATACATAATCATACACTAGATTCATATACTGTGAACGTATGTGAACGTTACATTGCATGTCTTCCAAGTATATAAGTCAAACGCCTGCAGCCACGCCGGGACGCGCAAAAACAATCCAGGCAATTGTCCCGCATACCTGCCAGCGTGAGAAAGAAAAGAACCAATAATTATGAATATGGGTCAAGACTCTGCAAACTCTCGCCATGCACTGCCAGCCATGCACTCATCCAAAACAACAAACGAATAGAACAAATGCACATGCATATACATCTAATTGTGTAAAGTATACTATACTTAGTGTCGTTGCTTTGTTTGGCCTGTCTGGTTCTCTTGGAGAGCAGCCCAGCAGTTCAGTTCAATGTTTGCCGCTTCAATCAATTCTACACATCCAGTGACCATCTCAAATCGTCTCTGTTGCGCATAAATGCACCTCGTCTTGTGCGAGGCGCATGTCCCACGGCTGGTCCAAGTCGGCGGAAGTTGATGAATCGGCCGTCGGACGATTCGACCTGCACCTGCGAACCACCAAGGTAGCGGCTGGTTTACAGGTCACTTCTGATCCAACCGGAATTGCGTGGAAAGCCACCGACTCTGACTCCATTGGCTTCCAAGGAAGATGCCATTTCAAGCTCTCAAAATATGCAATAGGATTGGCACCCTAACCTGTGCGGAGTGCGTACATGTGTGTCTTATGCCACATGAACTGGTGTTAATTACGTGTCACGTGTCAATGCTGGATCATGAGCATGGCAAGCACGGCAAGGAGACTTCCACCGCTCAGCCTGAGTCTCTCACCGGTGGGATCACATCCGCCGACCTCCATGGGCAAACCACCCACTGCCGTGACAGTCGTCGTGAGGTTTTCCAAGCCAACAGCCCCCCGAATCTTCGTCGTACTGCCACACAGTACAATGATCTTCCCCAAGATCGCAGCAAACTCTTTTGCACAAAACTGCGCTGCTAGCAGTGACAAGATGTTCCAAACCCATGCACTGATCATGAAGCGTGCCCCATGAACAAGTCCCTTCGTCCTCCTGGTGCCATGTGCGGCCTTCCCAAAAGAGCACGACGAACATGAAGCCGAGGATGCCAGTGGCCCATTTGTACCGGATTCGACTATGCTTGCATCGGCGCATGCAATGTGGCAGTGATGAGCTCTTCCATTCCACAGGAACCTTCCAAAGCCTCAGCAACCGCCACCAGTGCGTGCACTTGTACCATGCATACTTGCTCCAGCAAATCATGCAAAGCGATGGGGGAAGGGCGAGAAGTGCAATGGCATTAAAACCACAAAACCATGCGATAAGGACCAAGAAAATCCCAAGCACACCCACGCAAAGCTCGACTGGCCACATCTGTTCACCTGTGTGGGGGATGCTCTGGATGATGTCCCAGGGCAAGTCTTGCATCGTGGTTGTCTTCCTTTTGAAGTCGCCTACATCCAAAATCATCATATCACAAGCTGCAGCCACTGTGCGAAAGGCGCTGTGGAACAAGCGAAGAGGAGACTCGTTCTCCGGAACACTGTTGCAATGTTCCTCTGCTCTTTCAGCCACACTCTTAGCAAAGGTCTTCTTCCACAGGTCAGAAAACTGCGAAGATTGGACCTGTTGAAAGAGCATGTCGCTGATGCGAGCCTTCAATTCATACACCCCCCGTGCTTCCTCATGTGCATTGAACATGGTCCACTCGGGCTCTTCCACCTCTGCTCCGGTATTTTGGAAGGCCTTCTTGGCAAGTGCTTTGATGGTTGACATGAGCTTCTCCAAATCTTTTGGATCCTGTGTGTCTGAGAAAGTGGCAACTGGCAGAACTTTGACTGGGAAGCGTTGATCAAACTTGAGCTCTTCCAGCTGTTCACTCATCTTCTTGGCCTCCTTCTCCTGGAATTGGCGGATGTTCGACACCGAGACACAAAAAAGGATGATGTGAGGGGTGTGCTCGGACACGAGTTCATACTCCTTCAAGACCTTCTTGTACTCCATCTTGATATCTGTGCTGGTTTCATGACTCCACCCTGGAGTGTCAATCAGCACCACCTTCAGCACCTTCATCTGGTCCGGAAGATTCTTGAGCTTCAGAACACAGCTTTGTGCCTGAATGGTCTTATCCTCCGCTCGTGGGCCCGTGTGAAAGTGGGAGCCGCACAAGTGATTCACCAAAGTGGTCTTGCCTGCACCAGCTGGCCCCAAAACCACGCAGCAGTGTGTGAGGGCGATTTGCTCCACCGGCTTCAAAACATCTTGAATGAAATCTGGTTCGGCTGATGAAACACGTGTATCTTTGAAGCCTTCTTGCAAGTAGCTTTCAAGTTGAGCAAGGAGAGCTGGGACCTTTGCTTCAAGTAGTCTGGGATCTGGAGCTTCTGGATGCCTCGTCTTCAACATCTTCAACAAGGCTGACTCCGTCGACAAGGCTGACTCCAGCCTGGAGGAACAAGCACTCAATTGGCAACACACTGCTTGATGAAAGGCCTTTCCTGAAGCCAGCCAGCTCCATGAAGGCTGTGAGCCCGCTTCCTCCGGCTGCTCGGAGTCTGGGAGGAAAGGGCGGTTCATGGCTCACAGGCTCAAAGGAGGAATCACCAAATCAGGGCCTTTCTTCTTCGAAAGCCAAAAATGTTCCAGGGAAACCACCAAACTTCGTGCCAAACGACTCCGCCATTTTTTTGCCAAGTTTTCTCTTGATGTACCAAGCTGGATGTACATGATGTGTGGTATCATCATGAAAGCGATTCAAAACGTGATGATCATCTCGCGCCCTCGGCGAAAGCCAAGGCAGCGAACCTCGAACACCTGCTTTACGTGCTGCTGGCCTGGCTCGAGAATGTGCAAGACATGACTGGCCTGGTGGTTTGTGGAAGAATGAAATGCACAAATGCCGTGCTGGTGGGTTGAATGTATGTCATGTATGTCGTATTGAAATCACTTGTACGATTGATCTTCCTGGGTTGATTGGCTTCTGCCTGAGTATGTCACTTGTTAACTATGGTCCAAGTAATGTATATAACTCATACATTCATGCACAGTTCATCTCGACTCCGATGACAGTACTAGCCTAGCCATTTCAAATCATGCCAAAAACATCCAAAAACCTGCAGCGAGCATCCTGTTCCCACCTGGGACCACGACCGATTCGGATGGCCGCCCGGTTTATCGTCTGTGTGACCCTCTCTCTGCACAAGGACGTCAAAGGTAGAAGTCTCTTGGTATTCTCTCGTCTTTAGATCATATATGTCATATGTCATGCTTCTGCATCAGGGAAGGGACAACCTGCAGGATGGAGCCTGACCGTGGCATATCGTGCCAACCCAAAATCCCTTGTGCACGCGGCACATCGAGCTGGTGGCTGGTGGCGCTCTTGGGGATGTGCTTGACCAGGTCATCACTTCCAAGATGAACAAGTTTGGAAATGGGAGGGGGGGCTCAGGAGTCGCAATGTTTTGCACCAAGACTTCCAGATTTGCCCGGCGTTCTTTGATCAGATTGGCCATAGGGACGCTCAAAAAGGTTCATCAAACGGACCACATACAGTCTGGGTTTTCGAGTACCATGCTCATCTTCGCCAGCCTGGCTTTCCGGAAAGCAGTGGTTTCGCCTGGTTGAGGGGAGCTCTGAATGCATCTTCTTCAAACATCCAATAAGCCATGGATCAGCATTGAGCACTGGGAGCTGCCTGGAACACAAACAAACATAAACAAAGCGTGACGGCTGCTGTCCAGAATGCCTGCGGACATGGACTCAAGCTAAAAACATGTGGAACACGGTGGAAAGCTGAGCAAACCAATGCACACCCAAAACATCAATTCTATTGACAATGCACATCGCATGAAAAATGAGACTCTTGTTTACCTTGAAGTTCAAGCCTCACTATGGACCATTGGCCATGTCATTTGATTTTAATTCAACAATCTACATCGAAGTCCGGCATCACCCACCGCCTTCTCCTCACCAAAGATGATGTGTAGCCATCACCATGGCTGACGACCTGTGCGCGTCGAGGCATGCGGCGTAACGCAAGGGCTGATGTGACTGACTGTAAGCCTTGAAAGACGTCGGGATACTCGATGTCAAGCGATTGAACTTTGAACGCTGGTTGAAGGGAAGTGATGCGTGCACAATTCGCGATAAAGGCATGGTATGGCTCTCAGAAAATTTCCATCCAAGCTGGTAGTGCCAGCCGGTTGGCCAGAGATTGCAACAGGCCGTGGTTCCACAAGCACATCAAAGTGTGGAAAGAAACATTGAGACTGCTTAAGGAGAGTGTCTACCTACATAGAATGCAAGATCAGGCACAAACAGTAGCCAAGAGAACCTTCCGGCTGAGGTTTCTGCCATGCTATCCGTCTTGCCTCACACCCCGCGCAGCCTAACGAGGAACCACAAGACCACTGAACCGGGCATCTTCAAACATATCTTCCAAGTTTCATATCACAGGTTGCCAAGATATGTCAAATGCCTTTCGGCATTCAAGGCCTTCAAGCACATGTGGCCCTGTCAGCGCAACAGTTTTCTTCAAAGCACGTGTCTGTGGATCAATGAAGGCGAACAGCTTCTAGGCTTGGCACCAAAATCAGCCCATGCTTCGTGCAAAAGCTGCCGCGACTATAGTGCTTTCCCTGAGAATCGGAATCAAATCCTCCGACCCCCGGACTCTACCACACCTTCCTTAACCTTGCAGTCATCATCATTTGCATGTCCGATCTCACACCTGCGCAAACCAACTGTACCCGGGTCGTGATTGATGCAGAATTGCCACACAGTGCATGCATGCCACCCCAGGTGGCAGCAAGCCACCCTGCACTCATCTGCGGTTTGCACATCGTCCAGCATCGTCGAGAGCTCGCAATAAGCTCGCTGATCAGACCACTTGCAAGCCTCACCAGCTTGGTCGAACTGCTCTTCCACCTCATGGTACTTCAATGTCATGTTGGCTGCCTTGTTGCGCTCTCGCTCGGATATGGCCTTCTGATGCTCAAGAAGCTTGGACGTCCGGTTCAACTGTCCCCGCATTTTGCGGTACTTCTCCGTCAGCTTGTGGTACTTGTGAGCCACGTCATCCTTCTCATGGGCAAGCTGCGTGGCACTTTGGGAGGTCTGGTTGAACTTCTCCTGCACCTCGCTGTATTTCTCAGTCAGCTCATGGTACTTGTGAGCCATGTCATCCTTCTCATGGGCAAGCCGCGTGGCACTTTGGGAGGTCTGGTTGAACTTCTCGTGTACCTCGCTGTACTTCTCAGCCAAATTGTGGTACTTGTGAGTCATGTGGTCTACCCTCCTTTGTTTCTGCAGCATGGCGCTGCGCCACTCAAAAGCACGCATGCCCAACACGCACATCAAGAAAAAACAGCAAAGCAATTAGATGCCATTTCTGGGAGCGAATGTGTCTGCAACGGTGCCCTGTCAGGGAGAGTGGCCACAGGTTCGCACATTCCTGCTGCCAAAATTGGTGCCTGCACCACGGATACTTGCTGGAGCAAACCACACCAAGCAACAAAAGAACGGAGATCGTGGCAAAGGAGATCGTGGCCAAGGCCTGCCAACCCCAAGACCATGCAAGCATGCCAAGGAAAACCCAACAAAAGCCTGCGAACGTGCCCGAGACAATCCCAAGCACACCCACACAAATTGCCATAAATTGCCACATCTGTTCAGTTGTGTGTGGAATGCTCTCGATGATGCCCCACGGCAAGTCCTCCACCTCCAATGCTGCTGGTCTCATCATCAGAAACTTCGCTCCCACAAGACGCGGCCACTGTGCGAAAGGCGTTTTGGAACAAGCGAAGCGGAGACTCATTCTCCGGGAAGCTGTCGCAATGTTCCTTGGTTCTTTCAGCCACACTCTTGGCAAAGGCCTTCTGCCAGAGGTCAGAAAACTGCGAAGATTGGACCTGTTGAAGGAGCATTTTGCTGATGCGAGCCTTCAATTCGTTCACCCCTCGTGCTTCCTCATGTGCATTGAACATGGTCCACTCGGGCTCTTCCACCTCTGCTCCGGTATTTTGGAAGGCCTTCTTGGCAAGTGCTTTGATGGTTGACATGAGCTTCTCCAAATCTTTTGGATCCTGTGTGTCTGAGAAAGTGGCAACTGGCAGAACTTTGATGGGGAAGCGTTGATCAAACTTGAGCTCTTCCAGCTGTTCACTCATCTTCTTGGCCTCCTTCTCCTGGAATTGGCGGATGTTCGACACCGAGACGCAAAAAAGGATGATGTGAGGGGTGTGTTCTGAGACCAGCTGCTTCTCTTTCAAGATCTTTTTGTACTCCATCTTGATATCTGTGCTGGTTTCATGACTCCACCCTGGAGTGTCAATCAGCACCACCTTCATCTGGTCCGGAAGATTCTCGAGCTTCAGAACACAGCTTTGTGCATGAATGGTCTTATCCTCAGCTTGCGGACCCGTGTGAAACTGGGAGCCGCACAAATGATTCACCAAAGTGGTCTTGCCTGCACCAGCTGGCCCCAAAACCACGCAGCAGTGTGTGAGGGCGATTTGCTCCACCGGCTTCAAAACATCTTGAATGAAATCTGGTTCGGCTGATGAAACACGTGTATCTTTGAAGCCTTCTTGCAAGTAGCTTTCAAGTTGAGCAAGGAGAGCTGGGACCTTTGCTTCAAGTAGTCTGGGATCTGGAGCTTCTGGATGCCTCGTCTTCAACATCTTCAACAAGGCTGACTCCGTCGACAAGGCTGACTCCAGCCTGGAGGAACAAGCACTCAATTGGCAACACACTGCTTGATGAAAGGCCTTTCCTGAAGCCAGCCAGCTCCATGAAGGCTGTGAGCCCGCTTCCTCCGGCTGCTCAGAGTCTGGGAGGAAAGGGCGGTTCATGGCTCACAGGCTCAAAGGAGGAACCACCAAATCACGGCCTTTCTTCTTTTTAAAGCCAAAAATGTTGCAGGGAAACCACCAAACTTCGTGCCAAACGACTCCGCCATTTTTTGCCAAGTCTTCTCTTGATGTACCAAGCTCGATTTACATGATGTGTGGTATCATCATGAAAGTGATTCAAAACGTGATGATCATCTCGCGCCCTCGGCGAAAGCCAGGGCAGCGAACCTCGAACACCTGCTTTACGTGCTGCTGGCCTGGCCTGGCAAATGTGCGGTTCTCGTGACTGGCCTGGTGGTTTAGTGGAAGAATGACATGCACTGCTTGCGTCTTCTGCCGGACGCCGTAGCACAGGTCTTGACTGACACAAGTCTTGGTGGGTCCGAGCTGTATGTCCAAGCATCGAAAATACTACGAAACCAATCTGCCTTGGTGCTGTTTTGGCTCTTGAAGAGTATGTATGTCACTTGTTAACTATGGTCCAACGTAATGTATACCTCATACATTCATGCACAGTTCATCTCGACTCCGATGACAGTACTAGCCACAGACCTGCAGGACTCGCATCCTGCTCCCACCTGGGACCACGACCGATTCGGATGGCCACCAGGTTTGATGGTCTGTGTGAGCCTCTCTGTGCACGGCGTCCGTTGTCTCCAGGTCCTCGCCTGCGGAAGCGCTCTTGGACAAAGGTAGAAGATGGTAGAAGTCTCTTGGTATTCTCTCTCTTTAGATCCTATGTCATGCTAACCTGCATCAGGGGAGGAGACACCTGCAATGTTTCAGCCTGACCGTTCCATCTGCATGTGGCACATCGAGCTGGTGGCTGGTGGCGCTCGAGCTGGGATGTGCTTGACCAGGTGTCAAGTCCAATCCCAGGTCATCACTTCCAAGATGAACAAGTTTTGAAATGGGAGGGGGTGGGCCTCTTCTTCAGCAAGGCTGACTCTCCACTGGTGCAGCAAGCACTCAAGTGGCGAGCCAACCAGCTGCAGGATGACCTTGAGGCTACTTCCCTTCCCTGCTCAGCATGATGCAAAAAGAAGGTCGTCCAAATCAACAAATCTAAATCAGTGACAAGTTTGCCCCCAAAGGTAGTGAGGTGCTCTTACTCTAACCCTAGATAGGGTGCTCCGCCAGTCTGTCTTGCAAACACCAAACAAACCAACCGACTGAATGATCTGAATGAATTCCCTAAGTCCCACTCTCGTTCTAGTTGGCCCTCAAAACAGCAGGTGGAGCTTCCGCAACAACATTGACAACTCAGAATAGCTTACTAGCTTGCTATCGTGTAATCCATCATCAAACAAACACAGAAACACCATGTACTCTCTATGAAATAAGGGTCCAAAACCCATATGATGAAAGTGATTGGCAATTCTATAGAGCTTGGCTCACGGGGGGGATATAGATACCTACTTTAGGCCCTGGCTGTCCACCACCACATCCAACAAAGTCCAGCCGGCGGACCTGCAGGCTCATGGGTCGGTGAAGCGCTTCGGCCTCGCCAGGCAAAGGGCCCCAAGCTCTAAAGGTGTCGTTGAAACCATTTGTTGCCCAAAAAAACGATCACGTAGAAACACGTCGGCTCAACCACATGCATACTATATGACTATAATTGACTACTTGTATGGCTTGTATATACGAGTACTTATTTAATTTAACGACAAAGTAGTGACGTACGTACGCTCTGTCGTTTTCTTCAAGACAATGTCTAGCCAGGACATCTGTGTATAGTTGTGTGCTTCGTTTTGCGAGCGTTTTGCAAGTGAAACTGTGTTCGAAAGAACCACTACTTTCAGTGCTGGAAGAAAGCACCACGGCATCGTCCTTGCTCATTTTGGAACAAACACATCATTGATCATCCTTTAATCATTAATCTGTTGTATGGAAAACATATCTTCCAAGCAAAGCATCTCGATCATTTCCAAACACATCCTTTAATATCCTTTAATCTCTCCCTTCCTTTGTCAAAGAGTTTGTGTTTTTTAATCTTGCCAGATTGATGCCATTTGATAGGAAGGCCGCGGACGTCCACCGTATCGTGATGTCTCGTGAATGTTGGCCTCTCTTTCCCATACAACCAAACCAATGGTCGACCTTTGTGCCTTGCAATCGTGGCCGCACTTCTGGCAGTAGCTAACGACTTCAGGGAAGGAACATGATCCCTGAGAGTGAGGCAGCAGTCTCCACTTCGAATGCTTTGCAAAGCTGATGGATGCAGTCTTTGCAAGTCTTTGTGGCCAATGGACGGATAAAATAAGGATGGACGTTGAAAAAGTAAGTGAATCATGGAGTTTGCCCCCCCCCCCCCCCCCCCCCCCCCCCCAAAAAACACATCAAAACACTGAGCATCAACCAGAACAAAATCGATCTGGTGTTGCGGGCGTCTATTTTCGCCCCATGCCTTTCCGCTAGACTCGTCTAGACGTCACCTCCCACCGATGTGATCTCCGCCTGGCATGAGTGCAGTGCGCTCCGACTTCAGCTGAGCTCACAGCTGCTATCCTGACAGGCGTTTGCCCCCCCCTTAAACGCCTTAAATTCGGAACTCAGCTGAACTGAACTCTTCAGACTTGTTCAAAGCACCAAAAACCGATGTGTTGTTTCATTTGGTGGGAGCAACTGCACTTTTTCCGCCTTGCAGCGATGCCACAAACCTTGCATGGCGATCTCTTGTCTTTGCAGGTCGATCGGTCCATTGGAACGTCCGGCTTGGATGGAGATTGAAGCCGTTCTGGATGAGAGAGGCTGTTGGGCAACGGGACAATCCATCATCATGTGTTTCAACACAAGCGGATTCTCACTGAAGGTCTGAAACAAACAGTGCTTTCATTCACGAAGAAGCCTCTCAAAATTCAACCGGGCATTATACTGACTCAGTAAGGCTAATTCGCTTCCAGGAAAGATGTCATACCTCAAGCCTTCAAACACCGTGCTTAAAGCATGACATGAACGCGGGAGTTCAATTGCCCGCCTGGGCAGCGAAAAGGGTCGTGCAAAACAATCGCATGCAATCACCACATGTAAATGACTTGGATCACACAACAGCCACTTTTTTTTGGAATAACACTGGCGAAGCATAGATCAACAAATTCATGCCCAGAGAAACTGCCACTCAACTTACACTGCAACGATGAAACTTCCCTCTACATCCCCAAGTCCGACACGACAAACAACTCTTTTGAAGAGCCCCTGAGAAAGGCTGTAATTTTCAAACATAATTGATGGAATCAGTGTCTTGGGAGAATGCAAGGAAGGTCCAGTGCATGTCTCTATGTTTAGAAATTGAAGCAGTCGCCCTTTCAGCGCTCACTGGCTCTTGGTTCCCTGTCCTATTCAACAACGATAATAACGGGCTCCGGTGAAAAGGCTTCGCCTATCGAACATGACACTAGTAGAATAGGATCATCTAAAATTTAATCAAGCATTTCCAAACGCAACTAACGGTGGCGGGGCGCCCACTGCTGGCACCTTGGCTTGCGCAAGGTGTAGGCAACCCACAAATTCACTGTTTGACATCATAAGAATCAAGTCCGCACAGAAAATGCATGAAAATACATCGCATAAAACTCGGGAAAGCGGTGCCGAAGAACCCCAAGTAAGGTCTCGTGCTTCCAAGTCATTGCGCCTAGCCCCTCCCGTGTAATCTTGTGTGCAGACTGCTCAGCCTGGTAC